TTTCTATTTTAGCATCTTTCATCTCCTGCTAGGAGCCCTGAAATGTACCTCTTGTTTGTGTTCTAAGCCTTAGCAATCAAAGTGGGGGGAGGGACGGGCAAACTGGAGTAAACAAGCTGTAGAGGCAATTTTTGCTTTGATCAGATTCTGTTGTCTGTATGAAATGGACTCATTTCTCTGGGGCACTCAGTTGCATTGCCCAGGAGGGTAAAAGCTGATAGGATAATACCAGTTCCATATCACACACGTCAGAGTAACAAATGTCTGTCTTTCCTCTCCCTCTTCCCAAATACATCACACACACACACACACACACACACACCACTCACTGCAACACAGTCATATATTCATACCACATGCACATATCCTGCATACTCATGATATTAAATAAATTAATAATGTCTATCAAACATACCCTTTAGAGACTTTGGAAACAGATCTGACAGATGATGCCTCTCTCTGCTCCTGGAATGCTGCAATATATAGAGCTACAACTTTGATTTCTGTTTTTATCTCTCTGTGTCATGGATCTCATGCTAATCTGTGCCAATATGGTGACATAACCTGAGATTTCTCATATGAATGTTTTGTATTACAAAATAATAAGATTGGAAAGACAAAACTTATGTTCACTATTTTTTGATCTGCCTTTTGGGTTTTGCTTTCTTCAACTTCTTCCTCTGTCTCTCACCCAGTTCTTAAAAGTGTTCTGTGTCTTCATTTCCATTGAGCATTGTTTAATTGACTAGCATCCTGCCTATTACATAAAAAGTTATCCGTGATGCCACAGGGGTTTCTCCGTAATAACACCAAAGGGTTATTATCATTGATAGTAATGACCTTGAAAGATATTTCACGGAAGAGTCGGCCACAGGTACCTTTAAATCCCACTACAAACAACAACCCTGAAGGGAGAGTCAGGGAAGCAATGTATAGTGTCAGGTCAATTAATTTCCCTTTCAGAGTAATCATTTCTTATAATAATAATAATAATAATGAGGCGCTTGAGTGGCTCATCGTTAAGCATCTGCCTTTGGCTCAGGTCATGATCCCAGGTCCTTGGATCCAGCCCCGCATAGGGGTCCCTGTTCAGCAGGAAGCCTGCTTCTCCCTCTTCCTCTCCCACTGCTTGTGTTCCCTCTCTCTCTATCTTTCTCTGTCAAATAAATAAAATCTTAAAAAATAATAACAATACTGTTATGTGTTAATTAGTTCTGATGGTGTCTCAGAGAGTTAAACAAGGAATTAGAACATATTATAAGTTAGACAAGGAGTTAGAACATACTGTAATCATTTTAGTAGTGAAAAAGCCAAGGCTTCTAAATACTGAGATTTGGCAAAAGTCATTCAAAAAATTAAGTGACTAACAGACTATCCTCTTATGACATATGTGTTTGTGTCTTGCCCATTTTCTATTGGGGTCCCTCTCTCTCCTGTTATTTTGTCTATTTATTTCTTTTTATTCAGTACAGGAATCAGTAATATATATTACAAATACCTTCTTTCGCTGTTTTATTTTTACTTTCTTAATGGTGTGTTTCCATAAATTAATGTTTATTTTAGTATTGTCCAGATTGTCATACCAGTCTTTTCCGTGAGGGTTATTGTTTTGTTTTTCCTGTGTAAGAAATTTTTGCCTAATGATGTGAAGGTCTTTTTCCAAGTTACCTTTCAGACTTAGTTCTAAAATCTACCTGAAATTCATTTTTGAGTATGGTGAAAACTATTTCTTCAGTGTAGGCAGTGGAGGTCTACTGTTACTGTCGCTGAACAAATTATGATTCTTTTTCCCTGAAATTTTATTTCAAATTCAAATTTGAAAGACACTTTTGTTTGGTATGAAATTTTGCACTGATGATCTTTCATTTAGCACTTTGAAGATGCCATTGCATTGTTTCTGCCTTCCATTATTTTTGCTGAGAAGGCATCTGGAGGTCCTGTCATTGCTATTTTGATGTATGCTAGATAATTTTATATTATTTTTTAACCTTGGCTTTCAGCAGTCTTTGAACAACTGGCCTGTATGATACTTGCTTTGCATTAATTCTGCTTGGAGATCAGAGCACTTTTAAAACAGTGGTTTGATATCTCATTAATTTGGGGAAATTAGTCATTATATCTTAAATATTGCTTTTGCCACATTACACACTGGATAGACCCTATCTCATATGTCTACTAACTCTTTTCTATATTTTTTATCTGTATTTTATAGTTTCTTCTAATCTAGCTTTCAGTTTACTAATCCCTTCTGTGTCTAATGGCTGCCAAATGTACCTACTAAATGAATCACTTCAATTATAGTATATTTTCCAGTTCTGGAATTTACATCTGACATTTTAAATAGTGCCTAGTTATCTGATAAACTCCTTTGCCATGGATATTCTCCAAATTGGCATCTAATTCTTAAATATATTAATCACAATTTTTAAATTGTCTCTATGATATCCAGATCTCTAACTTATCTCTACATGTTGTCTCATTCTCTTGGATTTCAGTGATTTGTTCTTGTTCTTCTGGAATGCCAGGTAATTTTTTTATTGAATGCTGGACACTGTGTGTGAATAATTATAGAGACAGCTTGAGGCTCTGGGTGGTTTTTTCTCATTTTGGAAAGGAATTATTTTTGCTTCTGACAGGCCAGTAATAGTGAGCAGAGCACTACTATATAATCCGGAATTGAATTGATTAAAAGTTGGACTTCGATTTTTTTAAGAGCTGGTCTATATCAGGTTCATCCTTGCCCCCAGAATATAACCCTTCAGGTGCCCCACAGAAGACTCGAGTACTTTTCTAAGCACCTCTTCCTTGGCTAGCCCAGATCTCCAAGTTTTGCCCCACCCCACCCCTCAGGCCTCATAAGACATCTGGAGGCTCTGTTCAACTTGTTGACACATGTGGAATGTCAGACTCACCATGTTATACCTCCTCGAGCTTGTGTGTATTGATGGCTCTTTACTGAGTGAAAATACTTTCTTAAATAACCTCACTAGTGTTCCTAACTGTTATTGGTAGGAGGGTTAGTCTACATCATGATAATTCACCTTAGGCTGAAATCCCTTTCTCAGTATAATTTCAATTTGCATTTCTTTCATTATGAGCAAAGTGAATCATCTTTCATGTGATTATAGGCCAATTTTTTTTTTATGAACTGTCTGTTAAATTTCTTGCTCAACTTTCTACCCAGTTTTTTATCTTCTTAATCTGTATTTTTAGAAGTACTTTAAAGATATTAACCCTTTCTCTATAATAAAAGGTATAAGAATTTTCCTTCAATTTATAATATTTTTCTTCTAAACATTTCTTATGGTATTTTTTCCATCCAAAAATTTATTATGTTTATATGAAATCAAATATTTCCATTTCTCTCCAGTTCTGTTTTAAAGCATAATTAACCAAGATTTCCTGCTCTGAGCCTTAAAGAAATCCATCAATGATTTCTTCTGTAATTGTGCCTAGAGGAACGTGTTGATGAGAAATTGAAAATGGTCCACTTTTTAGGATTAGTGGAGTGAGAAAGAATATGATATGGTTTTAAGTACAGTTGGGAGGTTCAAGTTTTCTTTCCCTTTCCCAACCTCATCCTCAGTAACTAAAGAAAACAACTTATGGGCACAGTTACTTTCACTTGAAGGCTTGGGATCTATTGGTCATTTCTTTTCTTCTGTTATCCTTTTCCTGATTTCTCTCATCTACCTTCATTTCATCAATGTTACTTCTACATTGACATTTCGCAAATATCCACATGCCTATTCACAGTTCGCTTCCTCAGGATTGGATGCAAAAGCTTGTTTGGCATCTCCACTTATATGGCCCTGCCCTTCAGGATTCAAATCTAAAATGGCTTTCTTCACTTCCCTCCACTCTGTTTTATATGTCTTCAAGTACTGACCTTCCTACCATCCATCCACCAGGGTTCAGAGATTGGTCATCTTTGAGTCATACTTCATGACTGTCAGCTTCAGTACATCATTATCAGAGGGCGAGATCTATCTTTGAGGATCCCTTCCTTTGAAGAGATTATAAACTGGACCTTTACCATCCCTGCTTCTTACTCACCAACAGGCACACCAAGTTTAACATACTCTGAGCTCAATACATACTCACGTAATGAAAATGCACCCAACCTTATGCTTTAAAAAAATATAGAAATAATATCAATTTTGAAATTATAGATTGCCAGACCTTTACCTGTATCTCTATTTCTAAATGCCCCTGGCCTTCAAGTTGTGAAAACGTAATAGGTATTTAACTAAGATGGAAGATATTGTCGTCCTTTAGGCTATCTGGAAAATTTCTCACAATAAGAGAAAACAACCCACTTACTACTACCTTTAAGCATGTTCTATAGCTTCAGCCACAGCAAATGGATGACACACTGTGCAAAATAGAGATCAATCACAACAGAAATTAATAAAGACGTGATTCTCAGCAATTAAAAATGGCAGCATCTGAGAATGTCTCCTAGGAAGGCATCTAAGCCGTTCATTTTGTGTTTGAACAAAAAAACCTCACTGCCAGAAAGATAAATCTTTCAGCTTTTAGGCATGCCTAAGGCAAAACAGGTTTTCTTTTCTCCCTTTTCTCTTCAAAGGATAAGCTACATAAACTTACACACACACACACATACACACACGCACACGCACACGCACATGTACACACACACACACACACACACACACACACACACACATTTCCCTAAATTTAAATCGTAGGTTGTTCTGATTAAACCAAGTTTCCCTGCTTTCATGCTACCAGATTTTTAATTTGAGAAATTGTGTATGTATGTATGAGATTATCTTACAAATTAAAGAGAATTTAGATGACAGCGCTAAAGAATTCAGGCAACTCAACCCACTGTTTCCTCCCTTAACCTTTTCTGCAAAAGAAGTTGAATCCCAGGAGTATTTTTAAATTTAAGAGGGCAATGGAGGGTGACAGAACAATTGGCAGTCAGGCTGTTCTAATTCTCTATTAATCAAGGACTATCTTCTTTCTTTCAGCTCAAGGCGAGGACACACCTAGAGTTCCTGTGCAAAGCGAAGGGTCTGGCTACACAGAAAACTCTCCAAGTCCCGATGGTAAAGTTCTGAGCTATTTGAGCTCATGCAAACTACAAATCTGATACATTTTCTGTGTGTAATCTAGGATTAAAGGAGCTATCTGTTCTATGAAGCAACATATTCAGTTAGAACAAGGTAAAGTTCAAAAACCATGTTCTCCTAGGAACTAATAAAATTGGCAGCCTTTAAAAAAACTGATGCTGTTTTATAACACTATGTGCCTCAGTTGTTAATCACACCTCATAATACGGAGGCCATGGTGGGTAATACCAAGGGTAAACTAGACTAAAGTCCACCTGGTGAACTTGATGGGAGCATCTCTTACTTCCACAAAAAGCACTTGCCCGAAGTTATCCCTGCTCTATAGGGACTCCGGGAAACACTCAGGAAAGCCCTGACTTGAGTTTGGGCTAAGGTCATCTTGGACCTTCATCATTTTACCTCACTATCTCACTTCAGATGGCTTGGCCAAAAACACAGTGGATCTTTAAAATCACCTTAGAAGTCAGTTTATAAAAATCCGTCTTTATTCACATCTCATTTTGAAGGTATCTGAATACTCTGAGCCTGAGAAATATTAATACACCACCCCCACCCCATATAATGATTCTGGGAATGCTTTGAAATATTACTTGGTTTAAAAAAAACAATTATTTGTGAATATATGACTTAATAAATATTTGATTCCACTGACCCCCAAAGCTCAAGAGAACCAAAACTGGTTGGTTATCAACTGCTCATATATACCTTGCTGTTTGGTTCATTTTAGCCAAAGAAAAAAAGGCGAATTGCTTTGAATTAATAATGACCTTGGGAAAAATTCAACTGGTAAAAGCTACTTAGTGAATTTACTTGGTGGGTTTTTTTTTTTTTTTTTAAGATTTTATTTATTTACTTGACAGAGATCACAAGTAGGCAGAGAGAGAGAGGAGGAAGCAGGCTCCCCGCTGAGCAGAGAGCCTGATGCGGGGCTCTATCCCAGGACCCTGAGATCATGACCTGAGCCAAAGGCAGAGGCTTAACCCACTGAGCCACCCAGGCGCCCCTACTTGGTGGTTTTAAATAGAGTTTTCTGTACTCGGTATTCCACCCTGCTATAAGCTTTTCATCACCTGAATTTCCTCCCTTAATCATAAGCCCTTCCATACAAACCGATTTTTTTTTTTTAAACTCACGGGTTGCATTACCTAGAAGAATAATGTTTTTCAACCTCAGATCCATTAAAGGCTACCACGTTAGTCATGCTCAATTGAACGAAACCTGCCGCAGCCTGGTTGTGACATTATTGTGACCTGGTTCTTAACTAGTTCTCTGCAAAACATGTTCTGAAGAATGGCAGGCCCATAGGATGCTCATTGAGTAAAAGGGAAAGAAACATGAAAAACACTAAGATTTAGTCCTCTCTTTGAGATTCTCCATATATATTACAGGCTCTCAGAAAGCTCAGCTGTGAAGAAATTTATCAACATGGTTTACCATTGCTTTTCCCAAACTTATTTCATCATGGGATGCTATTTATTAATAGGTTTCGGAATGAGTGACCCTTGGGTTGGAAGAACAGAGAAGGGATGCTCTCCTATATTTGATTCTGCAGGCTCCCTCACTGAGATGGGTGACCTTACAGTAATTTCGTAGACCAGGCTGGAAAGCACATGCATTATTCTCCTTATACAGGTAGCATTGTTGCATCTGGCCAGTTTACACCTGGGGTTTAGAAAAAGCTCACACATCATTAGAAACCCAGGATAGTTTGCAGGTGGAACGGAGACCTGCTTTTAAAACCTTCTCCCTGAGAAAGAGTTGGATGGTATGCCCTTCAATGTCACTCCCTCTTTCAAGCCTCTTTGGAGTGTGAAAACCAGCATCTGCCACTATTTTCCTTTAATCAAATTTTCCTGTTTGAGAAAAAGAGCTTGGATTGTTGATTCTGTGCACATAAATGAAGACTACACGAACAAGAACAGAGGTCACTTACTCAGGTATGATAGCCAGGGCGGCGGCCATTATCCCTTGTGTTGGTGGGCTCAAATGCAGGCAGAAAAGTGGGAAACCGTTAAAGTTAAGACATGGCTTCAAGCACCCTCTGACTCAAGGTTGCTGGCATAGGAAAGCTGGATTTGAGCACACTAGAAGTGGGAGACTGGTTTGGGAACATATCCGGCTTTCCCTGTTTGGTCCCACGTTGGAATCACAGGGCAAACTCTAGTGAAGCCAGCAGACATTGTCCAAGTCCTGACCATCCTAAGCTGATTGCTACAGAGGATGTGGTCAGATTGCCCAGGCTGGTAGCCACAAAGGTTTTTCGTAAGTTATATTGTTATATATGGTCTGACCATTGTTCCATTTGTATATTGTCTTTCCCTTTATAATATGCACTTTGATGCTTTTAAAATATCCACCTAACTGAACCTACTGACCCTTGAAAATTTCCAGAGTGACTGCTATGCCTGCTCCGGAATACTTCTGGACAAGGACATTAATTATGCATTCTATTTTTATGCAAATGCTCGCATAGACCAATACACACAGTTAAAGTAAAAGCACACGTTTTATCATCATGGTGTGATCCGGTTAGATGTTTTGTTTTTCTATCACAGGGCATCCACTGCTGCTGAGTCCATTGGCAAGTTTAGAGAAACTGTTTTTAAATTCAGATTTGAAAACCTAGCAAACCAAACAGGCCTATCAATGTTGCCATTTCAGAGAGAGCTGCTTAACTCTCTACATGGCAACAATCTGTTTTGCTTTGTTTTCTTGTTATTTTCTTAGACATCTACTAAGGCCTTTGGATTTACTTCAGGATGGTAATCAATACACCCAAAATGCCCACCCAAAAATCTGGTATAAAACAACAACTCAACTTCTACAGTTCATTAAGAAGTAATCCTGCCCTCCCTGGCCCCTGCCACTAAAAATCTACAAGACTTATTCTCCAAATCTTGAATGAAAAGGAACTGAAAAGAAGTATAAGATAGGAGATCAGTAATGTTACAACTCACAGACCATTTTAATGTGTTCAAGAGATTTGGGTTTAATAAAGACTTAACCTTTTTTTTTGTTTTCCTTTCTGGTTACAGTTGAAATGAATAGTCAGGTTGACAGTGTAAATGACCCAACAGAGAGTCAGCAAGAAGATTAACTAATAGGTAAGTTGCCCCTGTAGTGGGATTTTCTTTCTTTTTTTTTTTTTTTTTAAAGATTTTATTTATTTATTTGACAGAGATCACAAGTAGGCAGAGAAGCAGGCAGAGAGAGAGAGGAGGAAGCAGACTCTCTGCTGAGCAGAGAGCCCGATGCGGGGCTCGATCCCACGACCCTGAGATCATGACCTGAGCCGAAGGCAGAGGCTTTAACCCACTGAGCCACCCAGGTGCCCCATGTAGTGGGATTTTCAATTGATTAAACCAGCCATGGGAAGTGTTTGTAAATGGCATATTGGATTTCCCTCAGTTCTGCCAAGTCCCACAGTGTGGCTCAAGCTAAACTTTAGAAATCCTTATACCAAATGACACAGTGGAAGGAGCCAAGATAACCCCAAGAAACCTACAATCCTTTGAGGGGAAAAGATAAGCCACAGCATATTCAGATGTGCATTTCCCTGGTTTTCTGAGTTTTGACAACAGGAGAAAAATGTTTTCATCCATCTAACCTCCTGGACTCCTGGAGGGATGAAATTATTTCAGCAACCACAAGCTGATTCTGAAGCATTGCTTTTCTAGAAGCTACCTACTGTGTTGTTTAGTATATCTGTTTTTAAATCTCTACCCTAGAGAATGTGGAAAGGCACTTGGTGTGTTGAGACAGAAAGAAGCCTGACTTGTGTCCTATGCTGTCACACCACGACCTATGGACCTGTGTGTCTGAACAGGGTTTGTTGAGTTAAATGAGCCTTAAGGAACTCCCCAAGAAAATCATAGGCTGGGGTCAGATCACGTTTAAGAGTTTTTCCAAACCAACATTCTAAATCTCTTAGCAGAGACTGAAATTTATCTAAAATGAGGAATAGTCTATAACCTCTTTCCATATCTTGAGGGCTGGTGAAAAGCATTAGAGAAGTCAAGCTCCCTATTCTGATTCTTAGCTGAAAATACTAACTGGGAAACATCCTAACTGGGAACCACCACATCAATGGTGGGTCATCCAGTGTAAAACACAATTGTGCTAGCACCATTGCCTCTCAGGACCTTCTTGCACTCCCTCCATCTTCGTGGTAGGTCTCTGTACTCACCCAGAAGGCCATGTTGCACCAGACTCTTGAGTTCCAGCATCACAGCAGAACAAAGTTTGAGAATATATGAAAGTAGACAACTGTCCTTCCCATCATAGTCTTGAACATCATTTAAAACTTAAATATAATAGCATTTGTGTAACACACATATAACATAGGACTCCTAAAAGAAATAAAACTCACACAAATATGGTCTTATAAACATTTCTTTTTTTTTTTTTTTTCCTAAACCTTGTTCATGTATTTAGAATTATCCTGCTAAGCTGCAGAAATGATACGGTAGAGAAGTTTCCATTAAAAAGTAATGAAGTGAGACTAAACCTGAACAATTTAAATGCAAGTTCCTCAGTGTTGCCTTACCTTCTGCCCTTTGTTGCCAACAAACTATAGACTTCTTGTCTAGAATTTTTCTTACAGATACTATGATTTTCCTGTGTGATCAATATCTAAATAAAGTACCCAGATAAATATTTCCTTGGTTAATGTCAAAGTATTTTCCTTGATCATAAACACGAATACCTTTACCCAAATGAATACGTTGTCAAAACTTAGAAGTTCAAGATTAGTTTGAGGAAACTCAATTTCAGGAAGGAGAAATGACTGGGTCACTTGGATGATCAATGGAAATTCAAACACTCCCAGGACAAAATTATTTGCTGACACCATACTGCTCCCTAAACAATAGTGAGTTGTAGTGACAAACCCAGTTGTCACAGAGAACAGTATGACCCAAGGAACTTTAGTGATTCCCACAGAAATATTTACACAGCTGAATTTGTAGAGGTTATGTGGTAGCTCAAAAGAAGGAACCTTTAGTTCTGTGCACCACAACTTAAAGGAAATTAAAGAAATACAGTGAAAACAAATTAGAATTACAAAGTTCCAAGATATAATGCAAGAAAATTTAGTGTTATATAATTTATAATTTTAAAAAATCATTAATCATAAATGACAAAAGGGAATGACTCAGTGAGTCAACAGAACACTCTACAAATGTTAAATTAATTTCTCAACAAGTATCTGACATCATGTGAAGGTAGTTTAGAGAAACATGGTTCTAGAGAAACATGGCAGTCCAAGTGTAGCGGTTACCAAGGTACACTTTAAGAGGCTCTATAACTTCCATTTTTACATTCTCAGAATGCTTGCTTTTGGAATCCAACCATCCTGTAAGAAGCTCACCTCTACTATAGAATGAGGAAGACTCCATGGAGAGAGATTCTGGAAACTGAGAGGCCATTTTGGGTGTTTTGGCCCCAGTGGACACCACCTGGAGCAGATAAACTGCCCAGCTGACTCCAAGCCTATAGGGACATGAAAAATGATAAACCATTTTGTTTTCAGCCACTAAGTTTTAGGATGGTTTGTGATGTAGCAACAGATAACTGGAAAGGTGGGGTTTTGCAGAACATCTCCCAATATAAATGTTTAGAAATGAGAGATAAATTATAATAAAGAAGTGTTTAAATACACAGCTCAACTGACATGAAAGCAAAGGTGCCAGAAATAAAGAATTTAAAAGCCAAAGCAGTAGTATAGTGAGTTGAACATGCAGTAACCCTAAGAGCTGCTGATTGGTCATGGATGCAGAGATAAGCCCTATGGCTAGATCCTTGCATTCTAATGCCCAACTGGGACCTAGAGCCATTCAAGGGAAGATATGAAAACTGATACATTTACATAGATAAGTCTGGGATTCCCAGCTGAAGATGTTAACAAGGAGACTTCTGTCTGCCCAGAGTGCAGTGAGGGGAAGGAAGAAGGCTCCTATGATAGGTAGAAAACACAAATGTACCATGAATTTGAAATGCAAACTTATGCCACCCACAGTCAGACAGCAATACACAGACTGTATATTTAATAGTTGATTAGAGACCAGTATCATTCCTGCTCTAGATAACAAATGGAAAAGTAAACCTATCACTTGGAATTCCCATGGAAGAAAAAAATTCTCTGAAGATGAATTCACAATTTTAAGACTTACAAAAACACACGATGAAGTGATCTACCATGAGTGAAACTCAATGGGTGAAATGACATGATGATTAGCATTATGAAAACGAAAGAGTAGAAAATTCTGAAGATTTTATAAGTACATTTAAAAGAAAATAAAGATTAAAAGCACATATCAAACTGTAAGAAAAGGGTAACACTACGAAAAATTAAGAACAATTTGAAAAAAGCCAATAAACATGTAGTGATATGAATGACACATGAGGAGACATGGGGGCAGGAAGGAGAATGATCAATGTGTTTGTCTTCAGTACACATTCTAAAAGGAGATAGTAGATAGTATTAGAAAGATAATTTCTGAGAATTTATCAGAAATTGATAGAAGTCCGTGAGTTTTTTTTTTAAACATTTTATTTATTTATTTGACAGAGAGAGATCACAAGTAGGCAGAGAGAGAGAGGAGGAATCAGGCTCTCCACGGAGCAGAGAGCCCGATGAGGGGCTCAATCCCAGGACCCTGGGATCATGACCGGAGCTGAAGGCAGAGGCTTTAACCCACTGAGCCACTCAGGCACCCCTTTTTAAAAAAAAAAAAAAAAAACAAAAAACATTTTATTTATTTAGAAGTCCATGAGTTTTTAAGTTAAAAGAAGAATAAGTCACAAGACAGACATGTTTAAAATAAACCCAACATAAGCATTGCAGAACACTAGAGAGAATGAGAAAAAAAAAAAAAAAAAAAGGAAAACAGTTAAAGGAAAAGGAGAGTTAACCTACAAAGAAATAAGTATGGCATAGACAGCAGACTTCCCAACATCTAGAATTTGGTTCAGGAGACAGTGGAATAATTCTGAGTCTTCAAACATGTAAAAACAATTGTCAGTACAGAGTTCTATAGTCAAGTTTCACTATCATTTAAGAAGATAAAAACTGCCATTTTTCAGGAAAAAAAGAAAAGTTTGTTCTTCACATACCCTTTCTTTAAAAGCTACTAAAGGATGCACAATAGTAAGAAGAAAACTGAATCCAGAGGAAAGTGGTAAGGTGCAGAAAACAACTGTAAGCCAAGGAAAATGATAAACACAAAGGCAAATAAAAATATATTTTGATTATAAATTTATAATAATAATTAGTGGGTGGCTAAAAACAGGGTAAAACAAAATTACTACTTATGTGCTATTTATAATACACAAAGTAATACTAAATACTTTCTATTATGTGTATTATTTGTGAATATATATTTGTGTAAAAATATAAAAACATGCAAGATGATCCACACTTATCAGGGTTTGGTAATCTCTGGGAAGGAAGAGAAATAGTTTTAACCTATCGATAAATTAAATTAATTTATTTGTAAATACTTTAATTTACCTATAGTCTTTTATTTTTGAAAAGTGAAAGATCTCAAGGAAATTTGAAAAATATTAGCACTTAGGGAATATATTCTAGGTATGTTATGCTGTTTGTAGGTTTCTTTATGTTTGCAATTTTCATTTTTAAAATTAAAATTTATAATTGTATATCTATGTATAAGAGATTCAGAAAAATACCATAAAGAAATATTCCATAATATTAACTGCAGAAGTTATCAACAATGGAGGGAGTACGTAGGATTTTTTTTCTTCTCATCTACTTTTGTCTATTTTAAATAGACACACACACACACACACACACACACACACACACCTCAAAGAGTACTTTAAAGATTCATAGGAACACCACAGAGAAAATTAACTCGGAGATCATCTGCTTCAGTTCTTCCATATAGACACGTAGTAATTTATGGTGATAGAAATCAGATCAGTTGCTGGTTCCAGCAGGAGCTAATAGTTGGAAAGTGAACTTTTGAGGTAATGGCAATGTTTTATATCTTGATAGTGGTGTGGGTTAAATGAATGCCTTTGTTCATACAGACTGAAGTAGGCTTAAGATCTGTGCATTTCCTTCTATTTGGATTA